CCTTCAAGGTAAAATAATGATATCCATTCTATTTAAAAATACATATAATCCAGAGAAAAAAAACTCTGGTGAAATAAATTATAACTAATGGAACCTTAAAGTGGTCTGTTTTTTCTTTAAATTAATACATACATATATATATATATATATATATATATATATATATATATATATATATATATAAGTGTCTTTTGATTGGCGTAAATTTCAGGGACAGAAAGAAACTCTTTATTTCATCTACAGATGTAAATTGTTCACGTTTCATTGTCCATATCGAGGGATATCACATATTACTATTTTAAATACTGTTCAGATATTTCTCGATTTCTTTCTACTTTGTGTAGGTGTGGATTACTTCTCCATACAATTATAGTAGTCAGAAATGAGAAGCGGCAGTGAATGAGGTCAAGCGTCACAGCAAGAACAATAGCAGCGGCATCTGCTGCATTAAGACAGTAGCCAACATGAACGAAGAACCTTAGGTTTAAGTCTCCACAAATTCTAAGTCCAGGACTGTCCGACAGGATAATAAACTAGTAGATCAAAGCATTGGTTTGAGGATCTGATGATATCATTGTCAGTTTAATCCATGGAAAATGGAATGAGAAGAATCTACTTTCTTATTTTATTTAAATTACTTTATTTTGTTGATGTTAATTATTATTATTATTAGTAGTAGTAGTATTAATTTGAAGTCTTGATGATTATAATGCGATGATGATTGTTTTATTGCTGTCGAAAATGACATGAATGTCAGACAATTCAATGTATCTGATCACTCCCTTCCTTACTTTGTATTTTAACTTGCTCAGTCCGTGAAGAAAAATCATTTCTAGGTCACCCTATCGGCTCATGTTTAATTCTTCCTAATTTCTTTTCTTTTCTTTCCCTCCCTCTGCCACTCTCTCCTTCTCTCTCCTTCTCCTCTCTTCCCCCTCTAGACAATAGCCTAGTCGATCAAAGCATTGGTCTGGGAATTTGGTGACATTGTCATTGTGAGTTCAATCCATGGACGGCAGAACGAGAAGACACTACTTTCGTGGATTAAGTAAACAGTTAAAGAGTGTTACCCGAGGTCGACAGACATTTTAAGTCGAAACTTTTTTTATAATCCCAATAATATTGAGAACATTAATGCAAAGGAAAATAATATGAATAGAAATTTAGACAGAAATCTTTCTCTCTCTCTCTCTCTCTCTCTCTCTCTTTGTCTTTCTCTTAAAATGTCCATTGTCATACAACACATTTAATTAAGAAAGTGTGACAATTTCAACCAGAATTTATGTAAAAGGGATGCTGTTTGTAGTCAGTTAATCATTTTTGGTGGTCAGTATAAAATGTGCACATGCATGTTTTAGAAGTGAGTGGGAGTTGTATGGATTATGTCTGCTCTGAAAGTTTTCTTTCGTCAAAGTCTTTTTTTTATTATCACGCAATATTCAGGTGCGGTGTTATCTCCGCAATTGAAGATCGTGTGAACTGCACGAGTCGTGCTATCGACGTTGGATATTATGTATATTCACTAATATATACTTATAGCTCTGTTTCATAGCAATGAGCACTGTATTTATAACACCAGGGGAGCAAATATATTTATACGTACGTGCAAGTATTTGTGCGTGTATGTTGGTTTTTTATCCTACCCATTCCTACAGACAAAAGGTCATTTTCTCCACCAGGTCATTCATTTCTGCAGTTCACTGCTACTGACAAGCAGAAATTTTGTTTCTGCTGATGATGGCCATGTTGGCCGAAACTAATCAATGAATCTAACTGAAATAATAAAAACGAAAAAATATTAATATGCAACCCAGTGTGTCTGAAGATTTTAATTTGTTAATATTTTTATTGTTCAAAACATATATATATATATGTGTGTGTGTGAAAATATATAGAAAATAGGAAAGAACTCGTTAGGTAAATAATCCAAAGTTCTTTAGTATTATTATTTAAAAAAAAACAATGCTCGATACAAAAGTAGAGCCTAAATATAATTATTTATTTAAAAATATGATTCCATCGCTACATAAGAGTTCTCATGTTTCAAAACAATTCAATTTGATAATACACGTCGCTTCTGCTATTAAAGGCCTAGGAGGCGATTATACTAGAAGGTGAGAGATTGGAGAATAATTGATACAAATTATATAGTCATTTCTATATGTCAAGGTATAGAGGCGCCATCTACGAATTGCTTTTGGCACTTCAGTGTATCTAACGAAATCTGATCATAACCCCACCCATCCTGTGACGCCCTGTCATTGATTTGTTATAAAACGTGAAAGACAAGAGAAGGCTGTTGTTTCAAGATGGAGTTGCAGATTCTAAGCCAATATTTACTACTACGGCGATAAATTTGCTCTTCCGTAGCATCTGGCTCTTTTGCGTAACACCTCACTGTCATCGCTGTTGGCGCCATATTATGCCACGCTGGAATTACTTTGTACCCGTAAAACATGTTTTGTTCAGACACGAGTTGAAATGTTTTTCTATCATGTAGATCGACGGAATTTAATGTTAAGGTTTAAATTACGTTTTATTTTACGTCGTTAAAATATTTGAAATAATCAACCGACTTGCAACGATCGAACTTGTGGAGACAAAATATTGTAGATAGAATTCTAACAGAATTACTGCCGCTCAATTAAAGATATTCGTCTTTGAATAAGTGTATAGTTGGAGAGGATTTCATGACATGAAAGCAAATAAATAAGCCCTTTATATGTACGACACACACACACACACACACACACACACACACACACACACACACACACACACACACAGAATACGAGAGAGAACGAGAGTGAGAGAGAACGAGAGCGAGAGAGGACACGAGAGAGAGAAAACACGAGAAAGAGAGGACGGAAGAGAAAGAACGAGAGAGCGAGAGAACACTAGAGACAGAACGGGAGAGAGAGAACACGAGAGAGAGAGAGAGAGAGAGAGAGAACACGAGAAAGAGGGGACGGGAGAGAGAGAACGAGAGATAGAGAACAAGAGAGTGAGAACACGAGAGAAAGGGCGACAGAGGCGAGAGAGAGAGAGAGAGAGAGAGAGAGAGAGAGACAGAGAGGACGAGAGACATAGAACGAGAAAGTACATGCGTGTCTGTTCCCACATACATACATTAATCAAGGCTTGTCGTAGCGACATCAACGCATGCGCATAAAAATAAGAATGACCAGAATGTTTTCTTCCTTAATACGATGTTTTTCATTGTAATATTATTTCGATTTCTGAAGTTTTTCAATGAATCAATGAGCTTTATATATAGATAAGGTATTATAATTACTTGCATTATCCACTTTATTCGCACTGTTATCCTCATCTTCATTGCCATATTCATAACGTTTCCGCCCGAAGAGGCATGGCACGTGGAACTAGAACAATCTACCCACGGGTGGACGAAATAAAAGGTTCAGTTCGAAATTCCAATCATCTGAAGAAGGCCGGGGCGTACAACCGTCGAAACGTTGTGAATATGACAGCAAAGATGAGGATAACATTCCAAATAATATAAGTAATCATTGAGCTTTATATATCGTATTCATGTCGTCGTTCCTCTACAGATATAAGCCAGCGTGACATTTTCAGTATTATTTGATATTTTTTAATTGAAATGTCCCTTCAGTAGATAAACCCTCATGGCTCTATACAGCTTCCTTTTGTTTAATATCTTTGAAATACTCTGGTTGTCTTTGGAATGAAGGTGGAGTGGTATTCTGGTGTTTCTCCAGGATTTTTAATTCAGTTATCATTCTAAACTTGTTGCCTTGTCATATTTAAAGAGATCATTCTATCCTACTATCTAACCCATAGCTTTTGTGGGAGAAAGAGATAAATTTATAAATTTTACGAAGGCGAAATGAACAGTCCCGGACAGAATTTCAACACAGTTTGTCGATTTCGCCTTCTCATATTGGGGGCCGTTACATTTCCGTATATTTTTCGATTATATAATTTATAGAAATATTTCAAAAAACTAATTACAACACATCTGCATAAAACACATCCCACGGATTTCCGTCCCAAGGAGACTCAATTAACACCTCCAGACTTCTGACCAACGCCCACAACAAGTATTATGGCCGGAAACTGTTCGATAAAACCGAAAGTGACAATTTGATTTGATTCGATTTGGCTGTCATGGTAACACAACGCTTTATTTTTCTCAACTGAAAAATTGTCCGCCATTAATTTGAGTAACATTTGTTTTAGTCTCATATTGTTTTAGTTGCTTTTTTATCGCAACTCAGGCCGTCAATCTACGGCAGTGGGTTTGGAAATAAAATAAAATCTTTCAGTGTAATTCAAACTGACGTCGATCTCATCACAGGGACGCATGCTTTACCGTGTCAACTGCTTTGACCAAAAGTTAAAATCTAACCTACAATTTCAAGCCTGACTCACTTTTCAAAATATGGTCAGATTTACCAACCGATGTCTCAGGAACATCCTCAATATCAGGTATCCGGAAGTCGTCTCCAACAACCAATTGTGGGACAGGATCAGACAAGCCCCAATCGAGATTGACATCAAGAAACGGAAATGGGGATGGATCGGACACACACTCCACAAGCCTGCTTCTGGTGTACTTGACTGGAATCCACAAAGGGAAGCGAAAAGTGGGTCGACCAAAACAGACTTGACGCAGACGTGTTGACGTAGATGTAAAGGCAGCCAGTTTCAGTTGAGAAAAATAAAGCGTTGTTGCTAACATTCGTCCCACAGTCTCATACATACACTCTCGCGAAATTTAATTTTTTATTCCCGGAGTTGTTTTTTCTGTTTTCTTTTTGATGAATTGGATCGTATTTACGATTCCAATGGAATAAATTATGACCATGGAATATTAATGTTTAAGCCTTTTTATTATATCCTTACTCTGTCCTGGACATTGAGTTCTACCTGGATTCTATCCTCTTGGAATTATTTTTTATACAAATATATGTATATGTATGTATGTATATATGTATGTATTCATATATTTTAGATATATGATTGCATATGTATGTGTATATTTACCACTAATATTATCATTATATATCTATCTATCTATCTATCTATCTATCTATCTATCTATCTATCTATCTAGGCCTAACTATTGCGTTAAGTAACGTAGTAAAAAATTTGTTTTCGTGTCTGCCTTTTGAGATGAGTTCTCATCGTTTAATTGTAGTTTGTTTTGGTCTGGGAATTTAATAATAGCTATTTTTTCTCTAAGCAAAGTTTGCAATTTTTGGATTGATTGTTGTAGGTTGATGTTCGTTTCCTTATTTTCCATGATATTTTTTATGTGTGACATGTTCTACCTGCAGCTGTAGCTGATTTGTACTCTGTTTTTGCTGAATATTTTGTGGATAGTGCTTTATTCGGGGTAGTGTTTGTGTAAAAGTTTGATGAATATTTTTCCCACGTTTATTTTTATGTTTTTGTTGTACGGTCGGTTGAACCACATGATTTTTCTCTTCCTGTTGGCTTTTTTGTTCTCTGTGGTGAATATGTGAGTGTTGCCTGGAATCAACTATCTTTTAGAGCTGTTTCGTAGTCTTTCTTAGTTTTGTTAAATATGGTTTCATTGGAAGAATTGTCTGAAAGCCTGCGGTTAATTGATTTTGGTATTTGCCTGATTATAGATGGCGCGTGATTGGAAGATGTGTGTATATATACAGTGGTTTATCATTGGGTTTTCCGTCTGGTTTACATGTACCTTTTCTTAGGTTGAAGGTAACATCTAGAAAATCTGCTTCATTTAGGTTAGTTTTTATGTCTATTTCGAATCCCATAATTTTGGAAATCTTTATTATTGCTTTTCTAGATTTGTCTGTGTTTTGTTTGTTGTAGTTTCTTAAGATTATGAGACCGTCCTCCTTGTAGAGGACTGAATTATTTCTGTCTATTATTTTGCTTAGTTTGTGTAGTGAATATATACTTATGACTTCGCAGGTCAAGTACCGTCAAAGTTTTCCATTGTAGCGACAAAGATCCCTTCTTTCTTTATCCATCCATCTTCATGGTCGAATAGTATTGATTTACCGGAGGGTTTAATGATTTTTATTTCGTTTGTGTTTATTTTCATTTGTTCTTGAGCTAAGGTGATGGCCTTATCTAGCATGGATTCTGTTATAGAAAGTGTAGAATTCTTTTATGTCAAGTTGTATAGGCAATTACGTTTGCTTTTTATTTTGCGGAACCAGTCTGTAGTTGTTTTTGTGTTTTTTCACTGAATTACTCCTAACATTTTTTTTTAGCTCTGAATTAATTCTTTCTAGTATTGTTCTACTTTTTTTACTTAGTTCAATTTTGGTTGGGTTTATGAGTCTGCATGTTAGGTTGGTTTTGAAATTTTCTTTGTGGTCTTTTAGTGTGATAAAGGCTTGCGCCTTATCGATGCAATTTATTTGTCTGCGTCTAATTTTTGGGCGATTGTTTTAGCTTCCTTATTGATATCATATTCTATTGTTTATAACCGGAAACAAAGAAACTATGAACACAAAACATCTTACCCAAATAGTAAATACGCTACAGCACAATGCTTTCCAAGGAAGAATACGCCAACAGCACAATGCTTTTTTTTGAAGAAAACTAGCTATAATTACCTTCACAGACCAAAACAAACTACTAAATAAACGATCAGAACTCATCTCAAAATTCAGACACAAAAACAAATTTTTACTACGTTACTTAGAAATCGAAAACTGAAAAAGACAAAATAAAAGAAAATAAATAGGAAAAAAAAACTATAATAAATTAATCCAAGTAAATAATAAACAGATTAACGAACTACTCACGAAAAAATAATCGATAGAATAGACAACATGAATTAATCCAAAAGGAGCAAATAACTATAATTACCTTCCGAGATCAAAACAAATTACTAAATAAATGTTCCGAACTCATCTCAAAATTTTTACTACATTAATTATAAATCGAAATAACCAAAAAGAATAAATAAAAATATATAAAATAAAAATATATAAGAAAAAACAAAGTTTCGGCCGTTGTACGCTCCGGCCTTCTTCATGTGGTTGGAATGCCGAATTGAACCCTTTATTTCGTTCACTGGGGTAGACTGCTCTAGTTCCACTTGTTATGTCCAACCATAGAAATGAATACAATATGGGAACCATTAATGAGTGCCAGAGAAAAGTAATAGTCACAATAAAAATTGCCATGTGAGCTCTGGTAAAAAAAAATGCAATGAAAACAGCAAGGACACATGGCACAGTGAATAAAGGCGTCAGTTAGATCCAGTGACAGAACCCAAAGAGTGTGAGTTCAATACCTGGTTAAGGCAGTGAAGAACTTGGAGCAGGGAATTAACAGAAGATAACTGATAACTGACATCCATTAGACGGCCGAAACGTTATGATAAATATGGCAACAAAGATGAGGACGATAGTCCGAATAATGTAAATAGTGTACATAATACCTCATCTCAGAAGTTTCGACTGATACTGAAGAAAAAACAAGTAAAATAAATTAATAATAAATAAATAAATAAATAATAAACAAACCACCCCCGTTGGAACGGACTATCTGCAATGTACCACTAACCTGTATATAGAAATAGTCGAGAAAAAAACACATGTGGACTGATAATGGTATTTATACTGAAACAGTCTGTCGCCTTAGAGTGTTGACTTCACTTTTATATTACATAGGCTCTATCTCTGATATTGAGCACTTTATACGATAAATTTAGCATACATTAAACTATCTTTGTTCATATATATATATATATATATATATATATATATATATATATATATATATGTATGTGTGTGTGTGTATTTGTGTGTGTGTGTGTGTATGTGCGTGCACGCGTTCGTGTGTTTGTCTGTGTATAAAGATGTTAAATAAAATTGCAAAACAGTGAAAGCTGCTATTGATTTTGACTTGGACACAATACACGTATGTGAATGTTAGAGAATAATAGTTATTCCGATAAAACGTTCAGTTTTCAGCCATCTTGTGATGTAGTAACATCTACACATCTTTGTCTGCATTTGACTGTCGGCCATCGAGAAGATCGATGGCCTTTTCAGTAAACTACTGTCCATATGGTCAAATATGGAATATTTCGACACCTGTAGACGGCCATACAGACATTCGCCAAGTTCGGCGTGTTTAATAATGGTAGTTTTTGCAGAGCACATGGCGTCTATAGCGCAGATCATAGCAAATGTGGCTGATGCTGAGTGTTCATTGATTAGAATATTTTGTCTTGCGAGTGATAGTTGTTTGCACGTACACAGAAAGGTTGCCAACAGTACGATTTTATAGACACGCAAGAGTACAGTGTAAATAGTTACAATAGATCAGAAATATAGAAACTGAAGGAACTAGTAGAATATAACTTATGGTAACATTTCGCTATCCCAAAAGCAATGATGAGAAATACTTACCAATCTTTCTTCCTTGAAAATAAGAGTTCGTACCCTTGATGTTTAACTAAAGGTTAAATGCCGAAAGCAACAATCACAGCTGGTTATAAACCTCAATGCTTGGCTTCTATAATGGATAGAAACTAGAGTTAATATACTTTGTAAAAATTGGCTTAAAAGATGTTCACAACCCAATTTTGACAAACAGTGCATTAATTCATATAATTATTGTATGTTGTTATGAGCTAAGACCTTTTTCATTATTCGTTGCATCATTTATTACTATTGTCGCTCTTTCCAAAAACATGAATTCCAAGCGGACATAAATTAGATCAGTTCGATTTTAAAGTTGTCTTGTTGATTCCATTTTCGATGTTTGCTAACTGCTTGGCTAAAAGCACCACTCACAGTAGTTTTTCGAAAGGTATAAATAATTACATAAACGTCGACAGTTAGGGCGCTTCCTGTTTAGGCAGTATCGCGTAAAACGATGTCTATTTTTCGCTCTTTGGCCGGAAATAGCAGTTTTGAACCGGTGACATCCACTGACCTTGGACACCCAATATTACTGAGTTATATTATCCGTAAAGAATTATTTTTAGACACCAGGAGTCAATCATTTACCGGATATAAGACGCACATAAGTATAAAAGAACATCACAAATTAATATATATATATAAAGACAAATGGAAAACTTTTATTTTGTAACATGTAGCAAAAATGTTATTGGTTTTTTTAAATTTTGAAAATTTAATAACGCTCATAAATATTCATCAGGTTAGCTGAAAAGTCATGCAAGCTATGGATGATGCCAAGTGACACAATTCAATGTTTAATAAACGAAAGTGAGTAAATGATGTTCTTGAAATATTTTTTAGTATTTAATTAGTATTTAAATTATTTTATTTTCGGATAAATTTGTGTGTTATATATTTTAATTAGCAAGAGGTTATGAATTTAACCATTTTCTCTTCATTTTTAACATTCATTTTGGTTTGGGAAAGTCGTAATTCTTTCGGAAAAAGGAGAAATTTGAAAAGATCCGAGGTGCAGATTTATATTTTGGTAAGATTCCATAGTATCACACTCGAGAATTTTCCGTTTAAATAAGCTACTTTCTCTTTCAATAAGTATGGCATTTCTTAGATCAAAGTTATAATCGATTTTTTTTTGTCTATAAGATCCCTCTTGTGTTCATAGGTACGATTTTTAAAAAATTTCTGCAAGTTTCCCCAATATATTGTGAGGAGCCGTTCTAGCCATTTATTTATATCTACCTGCTTCTGAATTATTACTGTTATGGGTATTTTGGGTTCTGATCATATCTATAATAGTTTTGGATGTGGTTGCAATTATTTTGATGCAGTCTAGATTAGATAATAGTTTTGGATGTGGTTGCAATTATTTTGATGCAGTCTAGATTAGATAATAGTTTTGGATGTGGTTGCAATTATTTTGATGCAGTCTAGATTAGATAATAGTTTTGGATGTGGTTGCAATTATTTTGATGCAGTCTAGATTAGATAATAGTTTTGGATGTGGTTGCAATTATTTTGATGCAGTCTAGATTAGATAATAGTTTTGGATGTGGTTGCAATTATTTTGATGCAGTCTAGATTAGATAATAGTTTTGGATGTGGTTGCAATTATTTTGATGCAGTCTAGATTAGATAATAGTTTTGGATGTGGTTGGCAATTATTTTGATGCAGTCTAGATTAG